GCAATCCTAGTCGGTGCTATAACTATAATAACTATAGTGAAGCAACGAACTAGGAAATTAGCACAAAAATGCGAATAGAACATAGAAATAAAGCAAGTTCAGGTAATAACGGACGACGTACTCTCACATGCATGTTGCGTTGCATGCTGTCTTGTATCCTCACGACTCTAGTGCTGCTATATCGTATTATTCGTGTGTACCTAGGCTAGGATTTGTGGCTGTTTCTAATGTAGGATCTTGTGCTATTACTAGCCCAGGTACGACGATCGCTGACATGTCACCCTCCTTCCCGCTTGACCCCTGCGCGTCTCAGTGCTTCTTCCGCGATTACAAAGGCATCTCGCTACTTCCTCTACCAGTCCCAGTCGTTTTGGCCGATCCCTCTTCTGGACCGGTTGACCCACACAGCTGCTACTGCACTCCTGTGTCCGGTAGTCCCCTCAGGTTCCCTCTCAGGTCTGCACCTCCCCTCGTTCTCCAGGTGAGTGTTGGTCGTCTTCAGGAGCTCGGCGTCACCACCACGTTTCCTGCACACGAGCGGTTTGCAGTCTGTACAGACTCTACCACAGAGGCACCCCTTGCCACGTTCTCCCGGGAGCCCGGGTCAGGTATCTTCACGCTGCGCAATGCCTCCACCCAGTCGTCGGGTCAGGTCAGGTAGCTGCGTCGAGCTCCTGTCGATCGCTCACACACCTGTTGCTCCATTTGCACCACCGTCTAGGTCACCCTTCTTTTCCACGTCTCCGTCACATGGTTCACCACTGTCTTGTCTCACGTCTCCCTGCGTCACTCTCCTCGCTCCCTCTCTCGTCTGCCCCGACGTGCACTCCCAGCGTCGAGGGTCGGCAGCGCTCCACCCGTCACTCCTCCTCGTTTCCTTGTACCACTACTCCCGATCAGACTTTGCACATGGACGTCTGGGGCCCAGCCCCGGTCCTTGGGCCACGCCAGGAGTGCTACTTTCTTGTCACTGTAGACGACTACTCTCGCTACACCATAGTGTTTCCCTTGCAGTGGAAAGTTGACGTGCTGGTAAAAATATGTTTTATATATTTTATATAACTGCTTGTAGTTAGTTGTAAAATAGTTATATTTTTTATTGCTTGGTGGTGCACCCTTGTTAGTTTGCTATATGTACCTCTGGTCCTATAGTGAACCCAACCATTCTCGACTTCCCCTTGGTGACATCTCTCTCGACAACGTTGGCCTAGACTTATAAACCTAGGCCCCCACTAAGCCCTTCGATTAGTAGTTTGACATGGTATCAGAGCGTTAGATCCTGCGGACAGAAATTTTAATGGGCCCACCAGTCGCGTTCGTCATGTCGCGCCCCACATTTCTCCCGTCGCGCTCTGCCCGCAGGCCACCCGTCACGCTCTGCCTGTGGCGAGCAAGCCAGCGAGCCGTGGCAATTGCGCCAGCGACCCGGGGCCAGCGCACTGCCAGCCATCCAGACCGCCAGCGACGGTCGCCCGCGCTAGCACAAGCGGCGGTCGCCAGCGATAGCGCCAGCGTCAGCGACGATCGCCAGCGCCAGCGTCATCGCCAGCAACCGCCGCCAGCGCCAGCCCGTCCGCGCCCCGCACCCCGTTCGCACCCCGTCTGCGCAACCCGGCCGTACCCCGTCCGAATCCGCACCCCGCAACCTGCAACCCGCACCCCGCCAGTAGCCCGTACGCCACCCGCGCCCCGCACGCACCTCGCTTTCGCTTCGTCGCCGCCCGCGTTCCGGGATAGCCGCCGCCCCGTCCGTGCACCCCGTACCCCGTCCGCGGCCCGCACCCCGTCCGTCCGCACCCCGTCTGCGCGACGTGTCCGTCCCCTGTTCGCGCCCCGCACCCCGTCCGTCCACACCCCGAGCTCCATTCGCGCCCCACACCTCGCTCTCCCTGCCCGCTCCCATCCCTCCCTCGTCGCCCCCTCTACCGCGCCTGCTACCGTGTATGCGCGACAATGAGAGAGGGCGGGGGAGTGGCACCGAGAATGGAGGTGGCGGTGGTGGGGTGGCAGCGGGAATGGAGGTGGCGGTGGTGGGGTGGCGACTTGCTGGGGGGAGGTTGAGGGGGTGGGTATCCAGCTGCAACAACTTCCGCCTCCTCCTCCTCTCTCTCACTCTCGCATGTGCTGCTGCGGGGGGGGGGGGATGAGGGGGTGCGGGAGTGGAACTGCAGCCCCATCCGTCGCCACTGCACCTCCTTTCTCTCTCTCTCTCTCTCTCTCTCTCTCTCTCTCTCTCCCTCTCTCTCTCTCTCTCTCTCTCTCTCTCTCTCTCTCTAACTAGCTAAGCATCAAGCCGCCTATCTACATCTCCTTAAGGGGCTCAATCACCGCACAACAGTTCCCAAGGTGCAACTCGGACTGTACCCCACCCACAGAGGAGTTCTCTATTGGCTCGATCGGGATTGCGGTTAGCCATTTCCTAGTGCCATAACCAGTTAGGGAGAAGAAACGTTGTGAGTGGCCGGACAGCGGATTCAGGCTCATGCGCCTGGTCGCTTGCACTTGCGTGGCACATCTGCTTCCCTGCACCTTCACCCCGAGCACGTGCTGCAGCTTCAAGCCGGTCCATTCGAGTCGCTTTTTGAGGATCTCCCTGGCCTCCTGCGGCAGTGCCGCTTCGTTTTCGGTCAGCCACGAATGTAGAACAGTGTTTGTGTCTCGTGGCAGCAACATGTGGTTTCTGACAGCAGTCAAGACGTCTTCTGTCCCCAGCAATAGTGTACCAAGGAGTAGCGACGCCTGGGTGAAACTAGCCAGGAAGCCAAAGGTCCTTTCCACTGTGGGGTCCTTGAGGCCGATCCCGCCTAGTGACGGTGGGAGTGATGACTGTTCCCAAACTCGGGTCTGTTCTATGCCGTTTGTTGGAAAGCGTATGCTGCACGCAGTCAGGAGAGTGGCTAGTAGGTCCCTACCCCACTGTGACCAGGTGTCGCGGGCCAGGAGGTGAAGCAGTGTCGTTCGTGTGAGATAAGCTACTCGTCGTGAAATACAGCGCTTGAGCAGGAGGGATGCGATCTGCGGGTCTGTGTGTTTGATTAATGGCAATGGCTTGGACATGGTCCGTAGTTGGTCTGATAGGAAGGCGGCGGCACCGTCTGGAGTCCATAAGAAGTTGCCGAGAAGTCTAATGCCATCGTCGCGAATCGGCACCCCTGGTGACAGCTGCACCGCACCGTCGGTCGATTACTCCACGCGGCACACATCCCAAGGTTGTGTTGCAGGCCTACTAGTGCTAGTTGGCTTGTGAAATGGGAAAGAGCGGCGACTGTTTCGCGTGCGTCATCCATGAAACTCACGGCGTCGGCGTACGCCAGGCAGAGCACGCCGGGATGAGCCAACACAGTTACTCGTAACGCGGGGTGTATCCCGGCTGCAAAGAGAAGTGGGCCTAAGGGATCCCCTTGCCGGACCCTGCGTTCACTCGTCAGCGGTGGGCTAACGAAACTAGCGTCCAGGTATAGTAGCGATGGCTGGCCGAAAGTCAGTTTGACTAGTGGTAGCAGCGGCGAGAGGGCCGGGTCTTGTAACGCCGTTACTATTGCTTGTCGTGAGAAGCTGTTAAAGGCGTTCGAGATGTCTGTTTACAGAACGAGGCAGTTCGGTCATGCTTCAATGTATGCACGTCGGTGTGGATAATCGCTTCGGCTCCCCCTGGGACTGCCACGCCGTACTGTAGAGGGAGTAAATAGCTCCAGGCTGCCTCACCCAGGACTGTCAGGGCAGCCCTTGCTGCCAGGCGGGTCAGACATTCGCCAATCGCTATCGGGCGGGCCCCACCCTCTGGCTTGGCCAGGGCTATCAGGCGCGATGACGTGAGCAGCTCAGCTACGGACTGTGGCAGATTTCCTTTCAGAATGGTATTAACCAAGGCGTGCAGGTGGGTACTGACGGATGCGTTTGTCACCGACGCGTTGCGTAGGTGTTCAAATGTTGTTCCTCTCGGGGCGTCTCCCACCCCATTCTCGCATCGACTGAGTAACTTCGCAAAATCCGCGTAGGCAATTTCCAGGCCTGGTGGTTCGGTGCTGGGTGGCCAGGTCAACGGTTCGGGGTCAGCTGGTGGGTGCTTGCGGCGAAGCTCGTGCATAATTTGTGGGCTCGGCGTGCAGACTGGCGCTGACTCGAGAGCTAGTATGGCCCGTCGCAGTCTTCCTCGTTTCGCCAGACCCTCCGCCCTACTGATGATACCTATGTTTTCAGGCTGGTGACGTGGCGCGGGTGGTGTATTGACCGCTTCCACAGCGTCAGAGTATATAGCTGCTGCCATTTGTCCCGCTGAAATGAGCAAAGCCGAGCCTTGATTTTGGGCCAATCTGGGCGCTTTGGCGAGGCCTAGCGCAGTGTGAGGCGCGGGAGAAAAAATAGTAACCGCCAGCCTGCGACGGAGTCGGGGTTTCGCGAGAGATGTAAAAGTGGTGTCAGCACGGCCAGCGAGAAAAGCTGGCACAAATTCGGCGGTAATCGTCGTAACAGGGGGGGTTGGCGACTAACGCACAGTGGTGTTATATCCCATTTCGCCACCTCTGCAAATTTGTCTGCCTGCATCGCCAGCTCTTCTGGCGAAAAATAGCGCGGGTTTGGTGGTTACGGGGCCCCGTTGGCTCGACCCTTCGCGGTCCGATTTGCACGAGCGCGGCTCGATGGTGGTATGGGTGATGAGGTTGGAATTGTAGCCGTCCGATCGCCATCTAGTGGTTCCCATCCGTTTCTCAGCTGCACAGCTGCTTGTTGCGGCACTCCAGATCGCCACTCCATTCCGTCTCCCAGTTCGTCCTCTCTCCCCTTGCTGCTGCTGCTTGGAGCTTGCGGTTCTTCCCTATACGTAGGATCTGCTCTTTCCTCCGGATCAGTATTCTCGTCTAGCAGCATCAAAGCCCTTCGACCCGCAGCTTGGAACGCATTCTTAGGGCCCCCTCCTACACTGCTTCCTCCCCGTCGCCCCGTGCCCCGGCGCCTTCCTCCTCGCGATGGTGATTGCCGGCCCGCCTGAGCCGCCGCCAATGCGCATTGCCGCTGCGTCAGTGGTGGGCAGAAGGTCACCGCCGGTGTCTGCAACGGCGACCGCCGCGGCGAAGCCGCCTGCTCCGAAAACCATGTCGCCGCCCTCCGGGCAACCCGTTCCACCGAATCCTGATCCCCCTGCTCCAGTCGCGAACCGGCATCCTCCTGCCGCGGTTGTTGCGTCGCCGGTCGCCGCCGTCCCTGCTGTCCCAGTAGTTGCCGCTGCCCCTGCTGCTCCGAGCGGCGACTTGGCGCTGGCGGCGGTGTCCGCCACCACTAGCGGCCTGGCCCCGGCGGTGGGGTCTAGTGAGGCTGTTCAATCGACGCCTGTAGCGCCTCAGATGGCTCTGTCCGGACAGCAGCGTCGTCCCCAGTCCCCCGATCGCCACCTGTCTCGTCCACATTCGCCCTCCCCGCGAGATGAGCGGGAATTCGTCACGGCGCCGACAGGAGTCTCCTTCGCGCCGCAAATCGCAGGGAAATTGGCCCGCGTACCGTGGCGGGCGTAGGGGCTGGAGGGGAGGTCGCGGTCGCGGACGTGGCAGGGTATTTGATGCGCCGGTGACTCTCGCAGATGTGCAGCAGATAGTGACCGCGGCGATGCGCGATGCTTAGGCCAGCACGGCGAGCCAGAGCAGCTCGCAGCGGGTGGCACCGTCGCCAACTGCTCCACAGCGCCACCCGCCAGCAAACACGTGCCAGCAGCAGTTGTTAGTGCGCTAAAAGGAGCTGCCAGCGCGCCACCAGCAGCTACCGGCGCACCAACAGCAGCGGCCACTGGGCGACCCGCACTGCTGCCTACATCTCACAGCTCCCGCACTGCTCCCGTACTGTAGCACGTACTGCAGCCCGTACTACTGCACGTACTTCTCACTATCAGCGGTTCTTCTAGAGGCGGCTGGCAGCCGCACTTCTCGTTCCTAGCTCCGGCCGTTTCTAGTTCCAGCCGCTCTTAGCTCCAGCCGTTCCTAGCTCCAGCCACTTCTCGCTATCGCTGTTCCTAGCTCTCCAGCCGTGTTTCTCTCCAGACATGTTGAGCATATCTGACCGTGGCTAGCTCCAGCCGTTCCTAGCTCCTGCAGCTTCTAGCTCTAGCCGTTCCTAACTCCAACCACTCCTGCTCCAGCCGTTTCTAGCTCCAGCCATTCCTCACGCCAGCTGTTCCTAGCCTGCCGCTCCTATGCCCAGCTAGTTCTTACCATGGCGTCCGCTAGAGTTCTGCAGCAGCAGGGACAGCAGTGTCAGCAGTTTCAGCAGTGGGGACCTCAGCAGCAGTGACGCTCTCCGCAGCAGTGGTACCCTCAGCAGCAGTGGTGCCCTCAGCAGCAGTGGGGGGCTGGTCTGTCATTATAAAAACAGGAAATGAGTTCACTAGCAGGCATGGGGAGTACAAAAGGGGAAACCCTAAAAGGGTTGTACTCTCTAATGAGTACCCCACTACAGCCTACACAACAATATATGCATTTTGACACACCCCCATAGCCGAAGTGGGGGATAGCAAACACAACAAGCGGTCACAAGACCAGTCAAGAGAAGAAACAACGCAAAGCAAGCTCAGGGTGAATCTCAAGATCACCACGCATTCCGAGCACAAGCAAGCGGCCACAAGGCCAGTTCACATGCAGTTTTATAATAAAGCAAGCGGTACAATAATTACAACCTAGCAACCAGAAACATGCAGGATATATATGAAGGTACAAGACAAGATCAAGAGACAAGCAGTGTTGGCCCGTGTGGCCACGTACGAAGGCGAAGCTGGAAACGCTGCTGCAACACTCGCACGGCAAAGGAACGAAGTGCAAAGTGCTACGTTCTGCTTGCTAGTCTGACCAAGTAGCGCAGCACCCTCCTAGCGACCGCCAATGCGCAGGGTGGTGTCTCCCGGGCGCAACGTAGCAAGTCCGGATGCTGAGAGGGTACGGCAGGTACTCAAGCTCGACCTGTCTGTCTACAAGGACGTCACAGCCAAGGGCAAGCTCACCCCCGACGGACGTAGGACACGAAGAGGCAGAAACGAGACCAGAAAGGCAGGCACAGTGGCAAGTAGCGGCAAAGCCTGCAAGCTCAGCTAATAAGGCAGAAGCAGCAGCAGTCGAAGAAGCAGGTGCAGTCACAAGCGCAGCTAGACAACAAGGGATAGTTGGGCGAGCAGCACGAGCAAGGTTAGACACAGGGTCAGGAACGGCACGAAAAGAAGACGGGGGAGGTAACGGCAGGACATCAGGCTTCCGAGTAACACAAGAGGTAGCAGAGGAGGCGGCACAAAACACAGGCACCCAATGCCCAGTCAGGGAGACGGACAACGGGGAGTATCGAGCAGGAGCAGGCAGAGGCGAGTCAGGCGGCGGAAACAAAAGAGGAGGAGTCGTACGAGTGGGCGCCGGCTCAGGTAGCGACGACGACGGCTGCTCCAAGAAGATTGGCCGCTACAGCAGCGCCAGCAACGCACCCCCAGACCCAGCACCTCTAGTACCAGTACCTCCAAGTCCACCAACAAGAGGACTCCTAGCACTCATAGAGTCAGCACCCCCAGAACCAGCACCTTCATAAACAGCACCCCCAGAACCAGCACCCCCAGAGCCACCAACCCCAACAACACCTGGGCCCCCGAAGTCTACAGCGACAGGCTGCAGAGGAGGCGACGACGTCCGAGGCGGAAAACCCGGAGGTGTCTCCAAGCGCGGCGAGCGGCGAGAGGTCGCTGTATCGGCAGCAGCAGGGTCAACCCCCTCAGTCGAGCCAGAGGAGTCAGAGGGGACTACGAGGCACGAGAGAACAGTGGAGGGGTGCGCATAGACTAGTCCAGAGGTGGGGTCGGCCAGCGTGACAGCGACCGAAGGCAACGCCTCCGCAGGAACCGCACCGGTGCTAGTAGGTGCATAAGCAGCGACACACGAAGACTCTAACTGCTGCTGCCCGCCCCCGCCACTCTCGCCAGCTCCACTACAACCAACCTCGTCAGCTACAGTGGCGAGGTCTGACAGCGCAGGGAAGGTACGAGGCAGCTCAAGACAGCCTAGGGTGGTAGGAGGGGGGGGGAGAGTAGCGCCTAACCACAGCGGTATAGAAAGCATGGCGAAATTGGACTCTCTGGTCGCGCGAGAGGTGAGTGCCTACTGCAAGTTTGGCGGCGGCGTCGCGCGCCATCCACCGCTTGTAGGCAACGTGGTCTGCGTGGTGCTGCGTCCATACCTCCTCCCCAGCGTCAGCAGCAGGCACAGCAGGAGCCTCGGGGGCCGGAAGGGACACCGGCGTGTGCTCGAACAAGGAGGCGTTGGCCTGAGTGACACTCTGGAGGTACTGGTGCAAACCCTCTAGCCAGGACTCAAACCCAAGCGAGCGCCCCTCTGCGTCTAAGGCTAGCACAGTGGGAGTCGCCATAGCAGCAGTAACGGCAGCAGTAGAAGTAGCAAGGGCAGCAGCAGCAGCAGCAGCAGCAGCAAAGGCGGCAGTCGCGGCGGCTGTAGCAGTAGCAGCGCTCGAGGCAAGGAGGCGCTAGCACGAGACAGGGCAGCGCACGCGGGGGGCAGCAGCAGGCAACAGCACCTACGGGGACAGCACATAGGGCAGCAGCAGGCGGCAGCACCTAGGGAGGCAGCAGCACGCGTCAGTTCGAGCTTGGTTTCCTTACGGCTGGCGTTCCTCATCTCTGCGCCATGCTGCTTGCCCCTGAAACGGATCCAGACGCCCTTGACATCCCGATCCCTTGCACTAACGCTGAGGCGGTCTCCGGACCTTGGGCCTCGTACAGGATAGCAGCCGAGGAGACAGCGATGCCATCTTTTAGGTCCACAGGCACCTACATCGACGCATTCCCACCACCAAGAGCGAGCGTCGTCAGTGGGAAGTGGCACTACGAGGTGAAGCGGCCGCCTGAAGCACCACCGATGTTCAAGGCGCACTACGTGGCGAGAGGCTTCAGTCAGCGAGAGGGGGTAGAGTTCTTCCAGACCTTCGCTCCCACCCCAAAGATGACCACTCTTCGGGTGTTGCTGCATATCGCAGCTCAGCGCGACTACGAGTTATGTGAAAGTACGAACTGCTGATTGAATTGACTAGAAATGAAACATGGACAATGATATGTGCTGTGAACCCTAACCTTACCCTATGTCAAGAATGTACACCTAGACTGACAAATATAAGCTATAACAAATATAGCTTGACACACTCCCATAGTCTAGGTGATGGTAGTCCTGTGGAAGCAACAAGAGCAAGCAAGGGTCACAGGACCAGTCAACAAGAACAAGCAATGGTCACAGGACCAGTCCACAAGAACAAAACAAATCTTAGGGTGGACCTCAAGATCACCACACAGGCCAAGAACAGGCAAAAGGCCACAAGGCAAGTCCACATGCAAGTATATAGCAAGTATAAGAGATGCAAGAGTACAAGACATGCAAGACAAGCATCTCTACGTAAGCAAGTGAGGACGGGCAGGCACAAGGCCCAGCTGAGTGTAGAAACGCTGGAGGTCACAAGGCGGCAACGCCTTGGTGAAGACATCTGCAGTGTTGGCCTCAGAGACCACACAAACAACGCGAGCCTGGCCACGCTGCTGTAACTCTCGCAGAAGGAAGTAACGAAGCTGGATGTGCTTCGCCTTCCAAACTAGTTGAGGCTGCTCCCACAACAGGACAGCAGACCTGTTATCAGCGAACATGACTGGGGGAGAGCGGAGTCGCGCACCAAGGTCAGTGAGGAGGAAAGACAGCCAGCGAAGCTCCTGGGCGGCCATGGCTGCAGCGTATACCTCTGCCTTACAGCTGGAGCTAGCGACGGACGACGCCCGAGTCGACCTCTACGAGACAGCTCCGGTCCCAAGGCTGAAGTAATAACCTTGGATCGACCTGTTCGTCTGGCTACAGCCCGCGTAGGACGAGTCCGAGAAACCTATGAGTGTAACTGGCTGCTTCCCTCCAAGGACGAGTCCCATGCCTGATGTGCTCGCCACGTACTTCAGCACCCTCTTAGCAGCCGACCAGTAAGAAGGTCGGTGTCTCCCGGGCGCAACAAAGCGCGCCAGGATGCTAAGAGGGAAAGCGAGGTCTGGGCGAGTACATGTCATCATGTACATAAGACAACCCACCAATTCAGGATATGGACCACTGGACTCAAATGGCTCGTCCAAAGGTTGAGCCGTGAGCCCATGATCCAAGTGAGCTGTACCTTGGAGAACGGAAAGCGAAACCGCGTAAGGATCTTCTCCACTATATGCTACTGTGTCAGCGTAATGGTGCGAGCTGCCCTGTCCCTGGTGATCTGCAGGCCGAGGTAGCGTTGCAACTCACCAAGGTCAGTGCAAGTGTGTCTACTCTGCGGTTCCTCCTTCACGGAGGCCAGTGCTGTGCGGTCGGGAGTGGCGAAGACCAGGTCGTCGACGTAAACCAGAACAAATAACGGGGTCAAGGTACGGTGAACGAACAGCGACGGGTCGGCAAACGACGGAATGAAACCAAGTGCAGCAAGGGTCGTGCGAAGCGTGTCGTGCCACTCGCGGGGAGCCTGGTGCAGGCTGTATACCGGTCGACACAGCTGCCACTGGGTCCCTGCAGGGAAAGAGCCAGTGAAGCCAGGCGGACAAAACAGCCAGATCTTCTCGTGCAGACTCCCCTGAAGAAACGCTGTGGAGAAGTCCAAGGAGTGCTACTCGTAGTCGCGCTGGGCTGATACGTGCAGCAACACCCGAAGAATGGTAATCTTCGGGGTGGGAGCAAAGGTCTGGAAGAAGTCTACCCCCTCTCACCGACCGAAGCCTCTCGCCACGTAGCGCGCCTTGAACACCGGTGGTGATCCAGGCGGCCGCTTCACCTTATAGAGCCACATGCCACTTACGACG